GCATGTTGAGAAGTATGATTCATAACAGGAGCAGTGACAGGTACAGATAGAACAGTCTTGAGTGAAGAGGTAGGAATGTCTGTTGATAAATTGAGTCGTTTTGTCTGTTGTCGGGTCTCATAAGCAATGAGAGCTCTCATAACTAAGGTCAAAGTCGGAAATTAAGGCTGATGAAGTTGTTGATCAGCCATAGTTAAATATTCAGAAAGAGACTGAAACAGTTGATGCACCTCATGTCACTCGTACCATTCTAGCCAGTCTTCATATATGGAATCATGTCCAGGAAGCATGGAACGTAATTCTATTCAAAAATCTTACATTTGTCCAAAATGAGACTGCAGAGAGGAACTATATTTGCGTTGTAGAGCAACGCATTACAGAAGATATGCCTCCCGTGTACCAGAACACTCAGTGAAACGCTCAGCGAGGCGAGTCCACATGGCCCGAGCAGAGGGAAGCGAACTAATTTTAACAGTGAGACCGGAGCCAACATAGCAAGTGAGATAATTCATGACACGAAATTCCTGCAACTGCCAGTCTGAACTGTCCTTGACATAGAGAGCACGAGCGGTCTGAAAATCGACATCACCACTGCCAGATGTAACAGTACTGGATGAAGCAACAGTGTTGATGGATAGTAGAACTAGTCCCTTACTGGTGAGATGATCAAACAGACTAGCGACTGCAAGGCGTTGGTGACAATGGTGGACTAACCTGCCTAGTCACTTTGATCATTGAGTGGCAGAGGTGGTTTAGGAATCTTCTCTGAATGAGTCACAACAACAAACCGAAGTTCAAGATAATAATCTTTGAACGAAAAAACCTGAATGTTAGAATGGAATCCAAATGTTTAAAATATAACTCGAAGGTTAGAATGAAACCTGAAGGTTTAAAATAGAACCTAAAGGTTATATATATATATATATATATATATATATATTATACATATATATAATATATATATATATATATATATAATAACACATATATATACATATATATATATATATAATTATTATATATATTTATTATATATATATATATATATAGGTTATATAAATCTCAACAAATTCTCCAATTAAATTTCTCTCAATTAGTGGAGATCGGTGTCGAAAAAAATTATGGTGACAATTTGGGGTCAGAGATCGCGGCGGCCAATCAGGATCTTCGGCGGCAGGAGGTTGCAGGATTGAGCAGATCTCCACCGAGATCTGTGACAGTTGTTAGACCCTAGAGGGGGGGTGATTAGGGTCTTATGCTAATCTAATCCGATTAAATGCCAATTAAAATATATTAACAAATTATCCTAGCAAGTATGAAATACAACAAGAATATAAGCTAGGATAAGCAACATGAACAATGAGATATATCCTATATGATAGAAATATATGCAAGGATATATAAACAACACAAGGGTAAATAAACTAAATAAGATAGTGGATGAAATAAATGAGCAATGCACAATTGGCGATATAAGATGAATGCGAAAACAAATACGCCAAAGACAAACTCAAACAAGCAATATGATCAAGGAGTTCGGACCTTCCGTCCTACGTCTCCGCTCCCCACTCCCGAGAAGAAATCCACTATCAACCGGGTTTTCTACGTTCACCCGAATAACGTTTACACCTCACACTCGGTTTTCTAGCTAACCGAAAACTTTACAATCAACACACTATTGTAATCCCATTCTACACCCACTAAGCGTTGGACCTAGCCGTATTTCCCTCAAGTGCTCGGTTACAACCTCTCCCTAGGCTCGTCAACCGACGTCACTCCTCTTGGGACGATCCCCGACTCTCACCACACACTCTTCACTCGGTGTATAAGTGTATTACAAGGTGAATCTCATAATAAGCACAATATAACAAATAATTGTTCTCTCTAACAAGGTGAGAACTCAATTAGGCTCAACTCAATATCACACTATCCCACAACCTAATTATATAATGTATGCAAATACAATAAGCTCAATGGTTGTGTGTGCAAACAAAGAGTAAATCAAATCAAACTAAACTCAATATAAAACTAGCTTTAATAGAAATGATAATCAACAAATAATTCTATTACCCATTAAAAGAGGGAGTTCATGAAAAACTTTACCCTCCCCAAAATAACCTTCCACCAAATTTAGTTACCAAACGTATCCTCAATAGATAAGCCACTTTACTCTTTTTCATCGGTTACGACCCCAACCCCTCATCTCTCTCGATCTATCTTGGCCTCTCCTTCGCCGTCTTCTTAGGCTTCCTCCCCAAATCCTTCATCCCCTACCTCTCCTCTCTCCAATCCCGCAACCGAATCCTCAGCCTCAAGCTCTTCCAGGCTAAGGACCAGCTAAAAACCCTAAGGTCGAGGAGGAAGGGGGATTCCAAGGCCAACGCCCGCGTCGTCGAGATCTTCGCCAGCCACCGCCACGCGTGGCAGCAGGAGGAGCGGCGGCTTTTGGATCAGATCGAGTCGACGAACGAGGAGATCGAGGGGTTGAGGGGGAGGGTCGGGGAGCTCAAGAGAGAGGTGAGGGAGAGGGACGAGATGTGGATCTCATGGCGGCGAGGAGAGAGGAAGAGGAGGAGCACGAGGAGGTTAGGGTTACGGTTTCGGAGGGGTTAGGGTTTGGGGAGATGAACGAGATGGCGACTGGTTATTACGCAGGGGAGAAGGAGAGGGATTCGAAACGATGGGTGGAGAGAGCTGCCAGCGGGCTATAGCAGGTAAATAATTTTTCCCTTCACTTTTCCTTTTTTTAAGCAATTTATCAATTTTGTTTGTTTTAGAAATTCAGGTATCCTTAATGGGAAAAGAGCTATTAGGAATTTTTGTTATCCTTTTTTTTCTCGTAAATTTTGATTTTATTTTGAAAATTCTTAGTCTGTGCGACATCTTTCTTAATTCTTAGAATTCAAATAAAAGTAGGTATGATGTTTTGATATGTGATTAATTTCATTATGAAATTTTTCGTATTTTGAAATTAAGCATAACACCAACGTAATTGTTTTCTCTGTGGCAATTTAGGTTCTATGCATTGGAATTTAGTTTATTTTCTTGCACTGCAATTAGTTTTTACGACAATTGATATTTTTCTAATTTTTTTAGTTTTTATGCATTATTTACAGGATTAAGGATTTGAAGGTTGCTGAATCTTCCATCTATCAAGGTAAATATTAATATTTGATATAAAATTAATTTGGTTTGTTGGATTATATATATATTTTGATTGAATTGAAATAGAAAATAGAAACTTTTTCTTTTGCTATGCATGCTTTTATTTAGTTTAAGTAAATGTTAAATGCTTAACTTTCAATTCAAAACAAACCTAATTAGCATCCTCAAGGCATCATCATTTACTACTTGGGTGTTGGATGGTTTATTCTTAGGCTTGAATTAAAAATCAATAATAGTTTAATTGTCAATATAGTTTATAGTTCTTATTGAAGAATTATATTGTATTGCTTTTCTTTAAAAACTTATGTTGTGGTGATTAAGTATATAGATCAATGATAATCTACTTCATTTATATGTTTTTTCATGCTTTGTGATATAAACCTTTATAGTTTGTTACATGCATGATGTTATGGGTCGCCAATTGCATATATATCATTGTTCACATATGTGATTTTTCTATAAAATACGAAGCATATGCTATCTTCAAGGCTCTCTGTTCAAACCAAGCTTTATGTTAACAAGTATCCGTTATTAATTAATAGTGTTCTTTTATTCACTACGGAAGCTTTTTGCTTCCAATGATTTAATATTTTTACAATCTGATCAAATATGCATGTGGTGCAAAAAATTCCATTGAATTTTCACGTTTATAACTTTTCAATTCGATTGATGTGTACTACTTACTTATGATGGTAGTCCAAAATATCTTCAATTATTCCTTCACATTAATTTGTACCATGCTAAATGTTCATCTTCAAAGCAAGACACCTAATGACATGTTATAGTGAAGGCAACTTTAGAATTATCATAAAAATGAATTAATCTTCAAGAGTTAAGACTTATAGGGTAAGTGTATTCTCCAGGCCAATACATTATCAAAAGGAATAGACCAAAACATAATAATTATGAAAAGTTGTACATTAGATCCACATTTCCCCCCTTTCTTGGCTAATATGATTTATATTTGACAGGTCAAGAAAGAAGTCAATGATAAAGTCCTGGAGCTGGAGCAGAAGTATAATAAGATCTGTGGGCTTGTGTACAGCTAAAGGAATGATGTTATTCAATTTATTCCAGAGATTTAGTTAATTGTACGTTTATAGACAGAGGTATTTGATTCATGGGTCTTGCCTTTTCTAAGACCTTTATCCAATTTCTATTTTTCTCTTTTCAGTTATTGTTTACTTTGACCACTTGCCTATCTGCAAAATTAGCAAAAGGTAAAGATTTTTTTTATTGCTACTTTCATTTCTGGATATTTTGGGGGCTTATTGGTAATTGTATTGATAGCTCTTATTGCTTATGGTCCTTTTGATCATTTAGGTGCTTATTCAGCTTTTGGGAAGGCTAAATTCTTTGTCATAGTTTGGATTCCGCAAGCTTTAGTGCTATAAATTTTGTAGATAAGTATTATTAATGAGTTTGAATAAATGGATGCGCCTAATAGGCCTTAACGTGCTTATAAAACGAGAAACCTAATGTTTCCTCTTTTTCGAGACTTTTTAATGACTGAGTATACATGGATAAATATTAACTATTCATATGAAGATAACAGGAAGCAGTTTGGAAATTGGTGTAATCTGTGTGTTTTAGTTATGCTCATAAGCTTTTCTTTTGTCTTGTCTTCATAGTTTCATGTTATTTTGGGTTTCAGATTTTTGTTTGATCAATGAAAGCTAGCCGTCCATTACATCTTCTTAGCGGTCATGGAGGACTTTCTCATGCTTTGATGTTTTTTCCTACAAGTGTAAGTCAACTCCCTTTCTTTCTTTGTGGTTCATGTTCCTCTGTCAGATGACAAGGAGATTGAGAGGATGGTGTTGGAGAAGAAAAAAATGGAGTTGTTGAACAAGTATACAAGTGATATGTTGATAGAGGAACAAAGTGAGGCTAAGGACATGCTTAACATCAAGAGGTAATTGTCATTTATATCTTAAATGAGATTACATTTCCCTGTACATTTTCTTTAGTTTAGTAACCCCCCTACCCTCCCACCCCCTCCCATTTTTGCTATCTGTAGAAGCTGACATCCATGGTTTCATAAAATGATTAAGTTGAAGTACACACAAATTGACATTACATACCTAATTTAACTTTTGAATCTACTTCAAGGAATGGAAGTAGATATGTTGCGTCAAATGTTGTACTTTTTAACCCCTACAAATGAAAATTCAACTATCATTCTCAACTATCATATCTTCAACTATCATTCTCAACTATCATATCTTTAACTAAACATTGGAAATATGAGTCAAATGTTGTACTTTTTAACCCCCCAAATTTTCTCGAATTTTTTCAATTATCCGTCAGTAATTTGATTATTTCTTTGCTTGGATGTTTGTAGTCGTAGAAGTAATCACGTTGGATATGCACTTCATCGTCTACAGTTTCCTCAGACTCCAACTGGGGAAAAGGTACGTTCTTCATTGTATTATGAATTACTTGGTTTTGGGGTTTTATTTTATTAGGACTAAACTATGTAGGACAATGGACGAGTTGTGTTCAAAGTGACGTCTTTTATATGAATAAGAGGAATTTTCATAGTAGGTGTTCTCTCTATTGAATAAATTTAATGTTTTGTAAAAGTTTATTTTTCTTTACTGGATGCTTATTTTTTTATTACTTTAGGAACAAGGCCGGCGCTTGTAAGGGACTTTAAGAAAGCTTATTATGAAGTAAGCTTCATGTCCCTTTGCTGTATTTCTCCCATGATTATTTTTGCTTTTTATGTATAATTTGTTGCAGAATTGAGTTATCATTTTTGGTTGACTTGTTTTATGTTGTTTTTATTCATCTTCTTAGATACATTGATGCATATAGTTTGATTTGCACTCTAAATTGTGTATTTTCGACGTTTAAACAATGATTATCTAACTAAAATCATGATTCATGAAGCGTCAAATATACATGTCAAGTGGAAAATAGAAATTTGTTATTGTATCGCTACCATTTTCTCAGGTTGTGATGTCATTTCTTTTAGGCTCATACAGTGTCTTTGTTATGGGTTAGATTCCTATATGAAAACATGTTGTATTAGTAGACTTTGTTTTCCTTGGTCTTTTTACGTAAGTCATAAGTTAACTGTTGTTATTCGGAGCATTGCTACAGTAAAATTTTATGCAATAAGCTTTAACTCTATAACCTCTTACTATTATGCTATTGGTTTACATTTGTAAATTTTCATATTTCCGATAAATTTCTGGGTTCTTCACGGTGGCGATGAGATGCCTCCCTCGAATGCTCGCGTCGAGTTTGCTTCTCGTTGACGATCCGAACGTCTTGATTCACTGGAACGATGTCTTCTCCTCACGATTTGACGCTGTGGAGAACTTGCGTGGCAAGTTTTGAAATAACTCTTGACGAGTTGATAACTCTGAACGAGTTTTAGAAGAACTCGTAGAGTAAGTTTTGAACTCTGATCGAGTTGATAACTCTGAACGAGTTTTAGAAGAACTTGCAGAGCAAGTTTTGAACTCTGATCGAGTTGATAACTCTGAACGAGTTTGAACTCTTGAAAAAGAGTTGATTTGAACCGAAAGTTCGGTTAATAAGCCAAGGAAGAAGCTCCTGTTGCTGGTCTCCAAAACTCCTTGTTGCTGCAGAACGCGGCAAGATGCTCGATCAAGGATCCCCAAAAAGTCAGCTCCCCCCCTCCAAAAAAGAGGATCCGAACTCAGTTGAGTTTTGAGGTATTTATAGGGGGTTAAGGGTATAACCGCCCCCTTAAATATCTCCTTAATGAGGGTTTAATGGGGTCTAACTGCTCCCCATAAATCTCTCCATGATAGGGTAGTGATCCCCTAAAATCTTGGGGAGAAAACGGTTCTGGAACCGTTCAAATCGTGCTTGAACGAGTTAAACGCTGAAAACAGCGTTCTGGGCTCGAACTGTGCGTTTCTGGACCTGAAACGCACAGTTGAGGTTGAAAAACGCACAGCTGGGGCTGAAAACGCACAGCTGGAGCTGAAAAACGCACAGCTGGGCTGAAAACGCACAGTTGAGGCTGAAAACGCACAGCTGAGGCTGAAAACGCACAGCTGGGCCTGTAAACGCACAGTTGAGCCGTAAACGCACAGTTGGCCTGTTTCAGGCTAAAAACGCACAGTTGAGCCCATAAACGCACAGTTGAGCCGTAAACGCACAGTTGGCCTGTTTCAGGCTAAAAACGCACAGTTGTGCTGTTTTAAAGATTAACTCTGCGTTTCTAGATTGAAAACGCAGAGTTGAGCCTGTTTAAAGGCTGAAAACGCACAGTTGTGCTGTTTTAGCGATTAACTCTGCGTTTTGATGTTGAAAACGCAGAGTTGAGCATGTGCGCTTTGACTCTGTAATGCAGAGGCGAACCTTAGGCGGGCTTGGCGGGCTTCAGGCTAAGTCCAATGTTCTGATGAAGTCCAGTCTTGCAGACGGTCTTCAGAACATTACTTGCTACGAAGAACAGGTCATAACTTTCAAACCGTACGTCGGAATTGGACGAATTACATATGAAAATCGGCTATCTCGACGAGACGGGGCCATCCGAACCTAGCCGAAGGCTTCGGTTCGCTTCCTCCGTTTTGCCAAATTCCTTACGGTTTGAGAGATATCTGCATTTTAATATGAAGAGACCGTCAATTTGTAGTCTCTTTTGCTAGAGCTTTGCACAGATCGTCCTCTTGTAATCTTCGTCTTGGCTCCTTGAAAATATGAGAGTCGTCAGGTTGTAACTCCCGATGTTGATTGTGAATGCTGTTGAATTGGGGCCTTCATTAGTTGTTGTGAAGGTCGTCAGATTGTAACCTTCTACGTGAAAGTCCTCAAATTGTAGCCTTCTGGAAGTCGTCAGATTATAACTTCCATCATCGGTGTTTGATGAGGGATTAACTATCTATTGTGATTTTTAGACAGCCTACAGAACCCCCTCCAAAGTTTTCGAAAGTTCGCGGTTGACTGGGACGAATTTTCGGAATACTTTGGATCTCAACTCTGATCTTGGAGCTGTTGATTCCTTGTCACAAAGGAGTTGTTCTCTGCACTCGCTTCGAAAGCAGCTTGGTTGAACGGATTTTCCATGCAGGACCTGTGTGAAGGTATGTGCCATAATCCTGCTTCTGGAATGTGGGGGTGGACCCTGCATTTTGAACTTGAGATGCGGGTTTCACCGTTGCATGTTGAATTTGGAACACAGGTGTGACCTCGGCGTTTGGTTTTTTGCATCGCGGGTCAACATTTTGACTTAAGACATGGAAGTGGCTTCCGTGCATTTTTGACTAAGTCTTTGAGACTTGTCTTTGGCGCATCTGTTTTAAGTCTCGACTCACATCTATTAAGCTGATGGGCCTGCAAATGTGCGTAGGATTTTTGGCAAACCCTCAGCCATCAACGGATTTGATAAGCCTTTACCGATTACCGTTTGAGTCGGGCTAGCATGTGAATTATCTAGGTCCGTTCCACATGTAACGTTGTGCTAAGAGAATGAACTCTCTTAGTCTTGATGCTATGATTTTGAATACATAGACTTTGTCATTTTGACGGGAAAAGACTAACCGGCAACGCGTGTTAGGCGTAGACTTATCTCTTATTAGGGATCGAGATAAAGTCCCCCATGCGTGTGAGGCATGGATTTTGATGTCCTTTTCACGGTAAAAGACTAACCGGCAACGCGTGTTAGGCGTAGACTTATCTCTATTTAGGGATCAAGATAAAGTCCCCCATGCGTGTGAGGCATGGATTTTGATGTCCTTTTCACGGTAAAAGACTAACCGGCAACGTGTGTTAGACATTGACTTATCCCTACTTAGGATTCAGGATAAAATTCCCCATGCGTGTAAGGCATGGATTTTGGCGTTATTAATAACGACCTGCTACGATATTGAATACGTAGGCTTTGCTATTATTGCGGGAATAGGCTACCCGGCAGCATGTGTTAGATGCAGACTTATCTCTAATTAGGGATCGAGATAAAGTCCCCCATGCGTGAAGGCATGGATTTTTGGTGTCATTTCTTCCTGTGTAGCTTGAAACACCGAAAGAATTAACAAGTTCATTGGGGGGTTGACTGTTAGAGGTGTTATGTTAACATAACAGTATTTTACGGACCTATCGCTCTATTGAAGAGAGTCGATAAGTTGATTTGGTCGTCAGAGGTGTGGTGTTAACTTGACGAGTTTGTGGACCTATCGCTCCATTGAAGAGAGTCGATAAGCGGATTTTGTCAGAGGTGTAGTGTTAACGTGACAAGAAAGATATTGCTATGGAAGCAATTTTGAGAACTTATCGCTCAATTGGAGAGAGTCGATAAGTTGATTTGGTCGTCAGAGGTGTGGTGTTAACTTGACGAGTTTGTGGACCTATCGCTCTATTGAAGAGAGTCGATAAGTTGATTTGGTCGTCAGAGGTGTGGTGTTAACTTGACGAGTTTGTGGACCTATCGCTCCATTGAAGAGAGTCGATAAGCGGATTTTGTCAGAGGTGTAGTGTTAACGTGACAAGAAAGATATTGCTATGGAAGCAATTTTGAGAACTTATCGCTCAATTGGAGAGAGTCGATAAGTTGATTTGGTCGTCAGAGGTGTGGTGTTAACTTGACGAGTTTGTGGACCTATCGCTCTATTGAAGAGAGTCGATAAGTGGATTTTGTCAGAGGTGTAGTGTTAACGTGACAGGATTTGTGTTGCAATTGGAGCAACTTTGGGGACTTATCATCCTATTGACGAGGATTGATAAGTGGGTTTTGTCAGAGGTGTAGTGTTAACGTGACAGGATTTGTGTTGCAATTGGAGCAACTTTGGGGACTTATCATCCTATTGACGAGGATTGATAAGTGGGTTTTGTCAGAGGTGTAGTATTAACGTGACAGGATTTGTGTTGCAATTGGAGCAACTTTGGGGACTTATCATCCTATTGACGAGGATTGATAAGTGGGTTTTGTCAGAGGTGTATTGTTAACGTGACAAGAATTTGGAGTGATGCAAACTGAATGCATACTCTGTGGGGATGATGATCGTCAGAAGTGTAATGTTAACTCGACGATGTGAAAGATTCGTTACTCTTAATCCAGTGGATTCCAAGTAACCAACCCCCAGTCTTGATGAAGACTTAGCAGGGGAATAAAAAAGAGGTAGACAAGGCACATCACCTAGTGGGGCACTATCCATGAAGTCGGAATAGAATCACATCACCAGGTAGGCCATTATCTGATGAGTTTGACTATCAGAGGTAATTGTTAACGTGATAGTTGTTGGAGGCCCGGCATCCTACTGAAGAGGATTAGCTTCAGTGGCCGTAGTATCTTCCCCTTCTGACTGAGGAGATTGGACTTGGTCCGATTGCTCTGGAGAAGGTTGGGCTTGGTCCGATTGCTCAGGTTGATCCTGCCTACTTTGTTCTTCAGCTTTGATCCTGGCAATGATTTTTTGAGCCTGCTCGCCTTGAGAGATTAGTTGTCTCCAAGAACGGCATTCTGCAACTCCTATTCGGGCTAGGAGGTCGGTTTGCAAGTTGTGTCGACAGGTCTCTACTAAGGTAGATTGTGTCATACCTGACGAACACCGGAGAGCCATGGATCGGAATCTTTTGACATAGGCTTTGACGGACTCCCTCTTCTTCTGCTTAGTAGCAAGAAGGGTATGGATGGAGACTTCTGTATCCTCTTCAAAGAATCTTGACAG